GCGGCTGCCAGAGGCGCCTGATATGCTGACGTCTGTTCTCAACCTTACACTGCGCCCGTAATTCAGTCTCTGGGCTGCAAGTGGTCAGATATAAACTATATTCTATATTTAATTACATTACTGAGCACAAAAATTCGGCAATCAGTAGACATTTCATAGAAACTCACGGTAACGACAACCTCTTGAAAGAAAACCAATCAACAGTTTTTAGAAAGTGCCAGGGCAAATTTGACTGTTTAGTATTTGAAATGCTCAGACAGACTCCATACGTGCGAAACTTTTTGTTTAATATTTTTAATCATCTTTTTCTCACGTTACAGCTTTTAATCAGCTATTGTTTTTTTTTTATGTATTTATAGACTGGAACTCACAAACATATTTTGACTTGATAATGACGTGAGCTAAAGTCCAAACGTCGTCGTCTTTTTGTAATTTTTTAATCTTAAAATGATTTTAAGAAATGTTTTATCGCAATTTATTGTTAGATTTAAACTGATTTAAACTTGATGAACGGTTTGTTTTCTTTATTTGAAAGTTGTTATTCAAAGTTCTTTTTAATCCACTGATGACCAAGGAAAGAAGCGACAGGCAGGATGGCTGAAATTAAGCCTCGCCCCACTCGCCCCAGTTTCTTCCTTCGTGTTTGCTGGAGCACTCCGTAGAAACTGGGCTAAGACAATAACAACTGTCGGTTACAGGCCATTACAGGTAACGTACTCTTAAAATTTTAAAATCTTTTAAAATTAACTCTCCAGGAAAATATAGGAGTGAGAAAAATAAGGTTTTCTTTTGATAAAGCAAACAAAATAGGAAACACAGGATAAACAAATAAGTAAACAGATGCCGAATAAATAAAAACACTGTGAATAATGAAAAATAAAAATGAACGAATAGACAGAGAAATGAGTGAATACAAAAAAATTTCACTTTGTATCATAAAACTCAAAAGAACGAAGACCTCGGCGACAGTTCATGATTGGAAATAAACTTAACTATGTCATTAAAGAATATTTGGATAGTACTCAAGCTGGCTTGATTCCTCCCGGCTAGGCATTGCCGGTTTACCAAGAGTCTCGAAATTATTAGCCCCGGCTTGTGGTTTGAGGCTGCTCCGTTCTGGACATTTAGTCAACACAAGAAAATACTTGGTCAGCATTGGAATTCTTACCGCGAAACAGTGCTCTCCCAAAGATCGTATAAACTAAGTTACCTTAGGAAAAAAAGGTGTTGCTTCACTATTTCTTACAGGGAGGCGGCAAAATTACTCCGACATACCCCTCTAATGACAAAAAATTGGGCCCGGGTGACTCCCTTCCGACATCTGGGCGAGTGCCAGAACAGAGCGCTTCTTAATATGCACGCATGCAACGGGGTTGTAAAATAATCTGATAAACATCTTAATTTATTACGAACAGTTATGACTTTTAATTGTCATTGTATAAGAAACCTATTCGGAAATTTCAGGGTTTGGACGGCAGCTTCTTACTATTCTTCACATTTTCAAACATTAGCTCTTCAGTAAAGGAAATTGGTGTCGCGCCCGACATTCTTTAGATATTCCGAAAAAGGAGTGTGTAATGTAGATGCAAGCGGTATTCCGCTTTTCAAAAGAAAGAGGTTTTATTACTTATTGGAAAAAGTATTGTTTTCAAGTCAACACCTCAGGGTGCGAAATAATAATAAACTCAGACCTGTCTCGCAATTGGTTGAGGCGTTATTAATGACTTATTTTCGTCTTCTTAGATCTGGCGCGCTTTGTCTGTGGGCACGTTTAAATTCCAAGAGCTTCGGCGAAGAAGTCACCTTCGACCGAGTGTTTGTGGCTGAAATTCGTAGAAAATGGCCGTAATTTTGGAGACATTGAGGCTTCGACATCTTTTAGCATTTGCGCTTCTCTTAGTGGGAATTCTGGCGACCTTTTTCGCTGTTGGAGGGAAAATCGGTGAGTATAATGAGGTCAATTTTAGTTCACCGTCAAAATATGCGAATACCGAGTAGTGTCTCGCTGAGGTCAAGAAAGAATTCTGCGGAAAAATTTTGCTTTTCGAGGCATTGCTGTCAGAAGTTAGAAGCGGATAATTTTTCGATTGTGTTCAAAAGAGCCCTTAGGGAACAGTGGAACGCATGCTAAATAATGTATCGAATTGAACATTTGAGACTTATTACTGAGAGCATTTCGATCACAAGTGGTATACTGTATTTCATCAAACATGGACTAGATGTGTGTACATAAACTTACAGTTGATATTTAGTCTAATATCATGGCCAGAATATTGCATACTAGATTCAAGGGAGCGAAGCGAACTTGAACCTTAAATGAGGTTCGGAAACTAACCGTAAAACATTTCTAAAGTGGATTTATATACGAATTATTTGTATGCATGTATACTGAATATAAGCACTTGAAGGTTGTCTTTTGTAAGGACCCTTCTTGAAATATTGTTTGCTGCATTAAAAAGTGTTAATCTTCAGCTCCTGCGTTTAATTTTCAACGAAAAGTTGATTATAAGTCAAAGTTAGAAGTTTCCACCAGAGCTTCTGGAGAACAGTCAACAATGAAACATAACATCAACTTATTGAAAAGCATTTTGTTTTGAAAATAGGTAAGAATTAATTTGATTACTTTTTAGTGCTTCAATTGTCTTGTTTTGGTTGTAGTACTGTAATATTTGGCTGCATTGGTTGTTCACGATACACACTATAAGATGAAAAAGTGGATTTTGATAATTTTATTTCTGTGGTAACTTCAATAATTTATGATTTTTAGTGAACATAATTTTTTTATGACAACTTTAAAATTATAAATTGAGAATTAAGATGGAAATTTGTATTAGAGAAGTGGCTGATTTATTTAGTGCTATTTATAATGCATACTTGAATGTGAACAATATTGATATTGTCTGGATGAGTGTTAGCATTGGGTGACCGACTGCTACGAGCAGAGTTGCAATATATTGAGAAAAAATACCATAATTGTTTTGAAATTTATAAAAGATGTAGACAGTATTGTAACTATAAATACACACAGTAGATTTCAATAGAAGATCTTGAACATGCAAATGTACATTTCATGCACCATATTGTAATTTATGATACATGGGTAGCCATTGAACTGTGACACTTACAATATTGTTGGTTATTGAGATGGTGCTGAAGATGTCAATGAATTTGACAGCTGGGTAAGTTCACATTTAAGAGTAGAAATTCAAAGGGCAGGTTATTTTAACATAGTTTAACTGCTGTTTAATAAAATTGTATTCTAACCTGTGTTCAATTTAGCCAGACCTTTTACCCGAATGGATGATTATTTCAAATGTGAACAGTGTCAAGAGAGCCAAAAGCCAATAACGGAAGGACATTTATTTAATGAAATCAAAATTCTTATGAGAATTCCAGAGGCCTACTGCTTGTGTAAAACTGTGGTTGGGTTAGTTCTAATGTAAATAAGCAGTCCTAATTACTAAAAAATCAGACCTCCAGACCAGTAGGACCTTAGTCATTGACTACTGATCTTTACTGTGCAAGATTTGATGGTAAATTTCTTCCATGAATAACCATACATTTCTATTGCAATTAAATGAAATAAATCGTGTTTTAAATGGTGGATAACAAGCAGGGAAACAAATGATCCTCTCAGATGAGAGGATCATTAAAGAATTAACGAAAAGAAGCCTGAACAAATTCAGGCTTCAACAGGATTCAAAACTGTTCATCCCATTTGCTAGAGTCTTAATTGGTACTAGCAATTGAGCCATGAAGCCATGTGTTGAGAATGAAACACATTTTTGGTAGGCTCTGTTTCCTTTCATGTTGACATAATCCTAGTGTAAATGTGGTTGTAATCTGTATTGTAAAATAGGTGTAGCTTCATGTGATGTCATACTATGTTCTTGTAAAATCAGGCACATAAAGTGGATAGATGGTGTATAAAATTGTTACTATTAATTCCTCATTAATTATATGTTCATGAACGTAAAGCATGTGCTGACTCGCCATACTTGATATACATGTACATGTACTTTATCCTCTTAAACATTCCACTCTCAAGATAACATTGATAATTCTCTTTTACTGTCTGCCAAACAATTTTTACGATTTGAGCTTGGAGAATTTGGTATTGGATCACCTAATAATCTTCTAATTACAAATTATTCTATATTCTCAACATTTGTCTGCTTGTTCTTGCACTGACATTTCTGTCTTGGTTTAAGCTGGGATATATTTCCTAGTGTTATCCTACTGGACAAGAATTGCTTGAAAGTTGGTTGTGGGTATATAGTTAAGTCTAAATAAGGGGAAAATCTTTTTCTGCAACAAAATCTTATTTCACATTCTCTGGTTGTCATACAATTTTTGCGGCCTTTGGTTAGGGTGAATTCCACATACCCTGCAAATAAATCTGAAAAAGGAAACTAAGAGATTAGATAAAAAAAACTTTGAGAATTATGAACCCATGTACATCCAAACATCCTTTGGGAGCTTCTCTACACATTTCCTGTGCTAGTTACAAGGAGAATTGGTCTAACATTCAAGAGCTTCTTTAATCTACGTTAATTTTGTCTATTCTCTTCACCTAAATGTTTGAATCAAGGGGTGATACTATGGAGAGCAATTGCTGTATTGTATTGTATTGTTTATTTTGCCATTTTGTAATTAACAAATGGTAAACACCACAGC